ATGGTTCAAGACATTTAAGGAAAGGAAATCTCTGTCTCTTTACTGACCACTAAGCTAACCAGGCGGAGACTTTGGTGGCCAGACACCAAAAGGATATAGACTTAGCAAAATTAGTTTAAGGAAGTCACTAAAAAAACCCAGCAAACAACAAGTAAAATAAGTCCAGGGGATAGGATGGGATCTAATTCCCAGAGCTGGCACATTATTTTATTAAAATGTCTAGTTTTCAACAAAAATTCTGAGACATACAAAGAAACAGGAAAGTAGAAAGTATGGCTCATATACAGGGAAAAAAGCAGTCAATACAAACTGTCCCTGAGGAAGTTGAGACACTGGACCTACTAAAAACTTTAAATCAGCTATTATAAATATCTCCAAAACACTAAAGGAAACTTTGTCTAAAGAACTAAAGGAATGTATGAGATCAATGTCTCACCAAATAGAGAATATTTTAAAGAGATAGTAATTAAGAACCAAATAGATATTCTGGAGTTGAAAACTACATTAACTAAAATTAAAAAATTCACCACAGAGCATCAACAGCAGATTTGAGTTGACAGAAGAGTAAGAACTTGAAGATATATCAATTGAGATGAAGAAAAATGAACAGAGTCTCAAAGACTTAGAGAATACCATGAGGCTTGCCAATATGCAGATGATGGAAGTCAAGAGGAGAGAAGAGAGAAGGGGACAAAAGGAATATTTGTAGAAATGCTAGTGAAATATTCCCCAGTTTTATGGAAAACAACAACAACAACTGTATGTCCAAGAAGCTCAGTTAACTCCAAGCAGGATAAACTCAAAGACATCCACACTTGGATACATCATAGTCAAACTTAAAAGCCAACAACAAGGAGAGAATATTGAAAGCAGCAAGAGAAAATCAACTCATGGTATCCAAGGGAACTTCAGTAACATTAACAGCTGATTTTTTATTAAAACCACAGAAGCCAGAAGGTAGTAGGATGACATTTTTTAAAGAAAACTGTCAACCAATAATTCTATATCCAATAAAACTATCCTTCAAAAAGGAAGGAAAATTAAGACAGTCACAGATAAAAACAATTCATTGCCAGCAAATCTGTCCTACAGGACACAGTAAAGGGAGTCATTCAGGCTGATGAAAGAACACTAGAAATTAATTCAAATCTACACAAAGAAAAAGGGAAATTATAATGGCAACTATATAGATAAATATAAAGGACAATATAAATGTACTTTGCTTATATCTTATACTGTTAAGATGGCAATACTGCCCAAACTGACCTACATATTCATAAAAATCCCCATGAGAATCTCAGGTATCCTTTTGGGGAGAAATTAACAAACTAATCCTAAAACTCATATGGAAATGCAAAGCACCTCTAACAGCCAAAGCAGTGTTGAAAGAGAACTCACATTTCTTGATGTCAAAGCTTCCTATATAGCTACAGTAATCAAATACAATGCGATACTAACATAAAGATAGGCATGAATAAACAGAATAGAGTTAAGAGCATAGAAATAAACTCATAAGTTTACGGTAAATTAATTTTTAAAAAGGAGTGCCAAGACCAAAGTGGAAAGAATAGTCTTTCTACAAATAGTACTGGGAAGACTGGATATCCACATGCAAAAGAATAAAGTTGAACTATTTCCTCATGCTATATACAAAAATTAACTCAAAATGGACCATAGCCTTAAATACAAGAATTAAAACTATAACACTCTTAATAGAAAGCATAGGAGTAAATCTTTGTGACTTGGGTTAGGCAGTGGCTTCTTAGACATGATACCAACAGCATAAGCAACTAAAGGAAAAATAGGTAAATAGGACTTCATCAAAATTAAAAACTTTTTCGCTTCAAAGAATGGTTAAGAAAGTGAAAAGACAATGCATATATGGGAAAGATTTTTTTGCAAATCATGTATCTGAAAAGGGATTGTACCTAGAATATATAGATAACAATAAAAAGACAACCCAATGTTAAAAATAGGCAAACGATTTGAATACGCATTTCTCCAAAGAAGGTATACAAATGTCTAATACTTGCATATGAAAAGATGCTCAGCATCGTTAGTCATTTGCTTTGGGAAATTGCAAACAAAAGTCACAATCAGATAAGACTTCACACCCACTAGGATGGCTAAAATAAAAAACCAATAAGTGTTCACAAGGATATGGAGAAATTGGAACCCTCATATAATGCTGATAGATGTATGAAATGGTGTAGCCACTTGCAAAAACAGTTTGTCAATTTCTCAAAATGTTAAACACAGACTTACTATATTGACCCAGCAATTCCACTCCTAGGTTTTAACCCAAGAGAAATGAAAACATACATTTTCAGAAAAAATGTTGCATGAGTGTTCATAGCAGCATTATTTATAATAGTCAAGAATACAAGCTAAATGTCCATCAGCTCATGAGTGGATAAACAAAAAGTGTTATGTGCATACTGATACATCCTTCAGTCTGAATGCACCTTGAAAACATTGTGCCAACTGAAAGAAGCCAGTCACAAAAGATCACATACTGTATCATTCCATTATATGACATCCAGAAAAGGCATAGAGACAGTAGATTCATGGTTGCCAGGGGTTATGGGGAGGAGAGTATTGGGAGTAACTGCTAATGGGTGCAAGTTTTCTTTCTTGGGTTACCAAAACATTGTAAAATTAGATGGTGGTTGTTGAGAATCTCTGAATATACTAAAAACCACTGAATTATACACTTTAAATGGTTAAATTTTATGGTATATGAATTATATCTCAGTAAAGCTGGGGGGTTTTTTTATAAAGGCAATTTTCGCATTTAATCCATTTACAGTGAGACTATATTTACATATTAGTGGTATAATTTTAAAAAGAGAAAATAAATTAATAGGTGGTTCCGGAGGTCTTTTTTAGCTCCAGCATTCTAGGACCCTGTACCATCGAGAACTAGGTGCCGGGACCTGTTCTCCCCTCTCCTCTCCTCACCTCATGGTTACTATCCTTCGGGGGTCAGCAACAATACCATCCATTACAGGTGGAGACAGAAGTACGAAAGGTTTTCTTAGAGAATAACCTGTGGCAGGAAAAGAGGAGAAAATAGAACTAGGGAGGGGGGTTTCGTCAAACTGTGATGCAGACGTCACAAGAGTCTCTGCAAACCGAACAAGAAACTCAAGCCAGGATTTCCTACGAGAAGGGCCCTGTGTTGGGTGGAAATCGGCAGGCTCTTTATTGCCAGTCACTAGCTGGGAGTTAAATGTGAAAACGGACTTTATAAAAATAGCAACTTTATTAAGATAGAATTCATATACCTTAAAATTCACTTTTATTTCAGTGGATTTTAGCATATTTGCAGAGAATGCTCAACTACCACCACTATCTAACTTGAGCGCATTTGGAGTTAAATGTGACTCCTCGCTTTCTCTCCTCCTCCTAAAATAATTCTCTGCAAGACTAGTCGGTTTCGTCCAGAATCTGACCTCTTCTCACCACCAACCTCTGATCATTCTGCTTGGAGTTTTGCAGTGGCAAAAACTTATTTCTCTGCTTTCGCTCTCTCCTGCCACTTTTTAAATTAAGTCAGATTAGGTCCCTTGTCTGCTCAGACCCTCTAGTGGCTTCCAGTGGCTTCCCTTAGAGTAAAAGTAATCCAAACCTTGATCTGACAGCCCCTACCCGATCAGACCCCTGCTCGCTCTCAGAACTCATCTCCCTGGCCCCTCATTCTCAGCTTTAGCCGCACTGGCCACCTTGCTGCTCCTGGAAAGCACAGAGGTCCTGCCAGGGCTTTTGTACTTGCTGCTCCTTCAGATTATCTGCAGCGCTGGCGTTTCACCTCCAGGTTTTTGCTCAGATGCCGGTCCACAGTACTCGGCGACATCTGCCCTGACCATTCTGTTTCAAGTCGCAGCACCTTCCTCTGAGTGCTCTCCTTCACTGCCTTTACTGCTTGCTTTTTCTCCACAGCACTTACCGCCATCTAAAATCATGTTTTACTAATGTACAGGGTAGGACAAAGGTAGATTTACAGTTTTGAGTACACAAAACACAGTTTATTCTTGTATTGTTATTTGTCAATTATTGTATTATTTTCCATACAAAAAACTGTAAGCATACTTTTGCCCCACCCTGTAGTTGTCTGTCTCCCCCTCACTAGAAAGTACATTCCCAAAAGGTAGTATTTTTACAGTTATAGTTTCCACTGTCTCCCTGCACCCATAAGCGTCTAGCTCCTACTGGGCCTTCAGGTACTGATGGTTGAATGAATGAAAGCAGCAGCTATTTTACTAGGCCCTTACGTTCCCCTAACAGTCTTGTGAGAGCAGCCCCTTTTGTACGTGAGACCTGCGTGGGCCTGGCTGTAGCTAATTCTGTATACCTGACTTCTACAGCGGGTGTCCTCTCAGCAGGAGTTACCAGAGCCCTTGCCTCCTGTGTGAGGGAGCTCTGTGGCTCCAGAACCTCTCGGTGAAAAGAGCATTGTTGGGCATCACAGATGTACCCACTCTAACATAGGGACCAGTCTAGACACAGGCCCTGTGAGCCAGCGCCTTGTCCCCATTTCTAGATGCTTCTACCATAGACTGGAGTAGCCACACATCTGTTCTGCAATTAAAGAAAAGGAAAGAGACTCTTTGGAAAACCGGTGAAGGGTTTCAATTTTTTTATATTAATATTATAATGTACAATATAATAGTTTCCAGTTTCTGTTATTAAGGATGATTCCGTTTCTGAGGGTCCAGTCTTTTAACCTGTGATTTCTAAAAATTGGATTTTTAAATTTTTTTATAAGTGTGCAACATTGGACTATTGTAGTATAAATTACGTGTACAAAACGATAGCATACTATATTGTTTTAAAAAATTGGCAGCTACTCTGGTTAAAAGCATGTGCATTTTAATATGCTCCATAGTGTCATTGTGTTGAGAGTGTAACAAAGAAGTATCATAACTGATCATTTATGAAAAAGGTCAATCGCTTAGTGAGAGTGGTGTTTCATTATTGCTGCTTAATTTTTCTTACAGGACAAAGTTCTAAAAACATCAGTTCATCTCCAAGCATCGAGAGCTTGCCTGGAGGGAGAGAATTCACTGGCTCCCCACCTTTGTCTGCTACTAAAAAGGATTCCTTCTTCAGCAACATCTCCCGTTCCCGCTCTCACAGCAAAACTATGGGCAGAAAAGAATCTGTAAGTATTTAGCAACGGTTTACCTTTTTATACTTCATTTTCCTCTGGAGTGATGGATGCATTCTTATAAAGCTCTTAAAATTTTTACAATCTAAAATTATAGACTAAAATGAATTATTCATCAAAAATAACTTAAAATTTTAAGGAATATTTTAAAGCTGTGGTTTATATTACACTGGGCTGGGGTGAATGTAGCATCAATTTAAAATAAGTTCAACCCCAAACCTCGGGTCCTTTTTTCCCCCCTACAAATGCCTTTTTGTCAAAGCCTGTGGTTGATTTGTTTTTTTCTAAAATGTAGCAAATAGCATTATAACAAATAATAGATTAAGACACTAAAACAAACCAAGCTGGGTTTTTTTTCAGTTTTAAGTATTCCTTGAAAATTAAAACTTATTTTACCACTCATTTTAAAAAGTTACACAAATCACATTTCAATTAGAGTATATCGATAGTTGCTCTCTAAGAGCCTTCGTATGCATTACTCGAAAGGACATATGCTCTAAAGCATATCAGCTACTTTAAAAAACAACAGCCTGGTGTGTCTGAAAATGTTAAGCCAAATCACAAGAAATAAAACATTTAGCCACATTTTGTAGCTAGTTTAACACACTATTCTATGAAGAATTCATCTGCCCACTGGAAGAAGAAGGAAATTTAAGGTATTACAGAGAAGACTCCAGCTGTTGCTGAAATAGTCCTAAGTTGGGGCGGGGGGGAGTAAAACTTTTGAGGGATAATTATTTATGGAACATAGCCTAGACAACGTGATGTCTCTGCGTGACTGTGCGTGACCGTGGGCAAGGCAGCTCTGCGTGCTTCAGGCGCCGCCTCTGCGCGTTAAACAGCGCGCTTTGCCCTGGGAGGGCGGAGTTCACACCCGCTCCGGGCCCCGCCGCGGGCGGCAGCTGTGATTCTCTCATTTGTGGAGGAGCAGAATGGAGCGTTCATTTAAAGGTGGCAGCTTGAATGCAGGCAGTTAGCTCTGCTCCCTCGGAAATTCCACGGCGGGGACATTAGAGTGGTTAAGGATAAACCCTCGAGGAATGAGAGGGCGGGAGAGGAGGCAGCAGCAACGCGTTCTTGTGACTTGGAAAGCAGATGTTAAGTGCTAACTAACTTAGCAGCCTGAAAAAACCGAACACCAAGTCAGCAGTGGGTAGAAACCAAGAAGCAGCGTGATTTAGATTTAATCTTCTGGAAGCTCAGGAACTGGAAATGGGGGAAAGGTGGAACTGAAGACATGAGGGTTGGCGAGACGTCTCTTCAGAAAGCAGTTCGAGTCCCTCCCCCATGCTGGCAGAAGACTGCAGGGTGGTCCTCTGGCTGAGGCTTGTTCAAGTGTGGCACCCCCCTACTGGGAAAGGGATGGTGGGTTTATTTAACTACTGAATTTGAGGTCCTCAGGCCTCACCCCACTTGCTTCCCAGAGTTCCAGTATGTACATTCTGACCTTAGTGGTTCTTCAGGGAACTAGCCAGCTCACTCACAGTGCAGCCAGCCTCATGCCCCATCCAAACACAGGCCCGCGCCCAACTCTTAGTTTACATTATTTCATAGGAGCAGCACAGCCAAGGACCACGGGTACCTGAGGAGAGTATCTGATAGTGAAAGACAGACAAAAAACAAATAGAAAAAAGGATCATTTATATTTGTGTCCTGATGTTTTCATGTGAGTACCTGGTACACACTAATGAAGCAAAAATAACGCAAGTTGAGCTCTGGGCATGTTATTTACCTGTGGTTGGAAAATAGCAAATAATGATATTAGCATGAAATACCTCTCTTTAAAACTATCATTCTTTTAAAATTTATTTTCTGAGTGACTCTTTAGGCAAAAACTATTTTGACATCAAAATAATAAAATGTTATTAAAGGAAAAAAGCAACTTGGAGGAAACAAGTCTATGCAGGAGTAGAATGCTTCAGAAAAAATATTCATTCAGAAAACAACCACAACAAAGCTATTAGAAATTAAAGAACGATATCTACAATTAAAACTCAATAGAAGAATTGGAAGATAAAATTGAGGAAATCTCCCCAGAAAATAGAATACAAGCAGAAAAGGGAGGTAAGAAAGAAAAATATATGAAAATTAGAGAACCAACCCCAGAAGTTCAAAATCTCAAAAACAGAAGTTCCAGAAAGAAAGAACAAACAAAATGAAAGGAAGGAAATAGTCAAAAATACAATTCGATAAAGTTTTCCATTCATGAAATACCTGAGTTTTCAGATTGAAATGTTCCATGGAATGTCCCACACAAGTAACTATAAACCCACCCACAAATACATCACTGAAGAAATTCAGAACTCTGGGAACAAAGTGATATCCTACAAACTTGTAGAATTGGGTGAAAGGAAAGATTTCCAACAAAGGATCAAGAATTATCATAGCTACAAATTTCCCATAGCTACAAATATCCCATAGCAACACCAGAAACGAGACAATGGAGGAATACCTTCAGAGTTCAGAGAAAATTACTTCCGACCTAGATTCAACACTTAACTGAACTAATTAAATGTGAGGGTAGAATAAAGCCACTTTCTGACATTTAGGATTCAAAAAATGTATTCCCATGCACCTCCGACTCCACTAGAGGACATGCTCTACAACGAGGACATATGCTAAGAATGAGGAATACATGAGGACAAGTAATAGATCACCCAGAGGAAGACAAAAATATTTTCTGGAATGATAATGTAGGGAGATCCCAAAACTATGTATAACACAGCTACTTAGCAGGTACAGAGAGCAGATTGAAGCAAGTTAGAAGGTTCCAGAAAGCTTTCTCCAAGAAAATGAAATTGTAAGAATAACTAATATATTTGGATAAACTGAGAAATTTATACAACTATAGGTGAGTTTGGGTTTAAATTGGTGATAACTTGAGAAAAAAATAAGCCAGTAAAACAAAGGACAATCTATAACCCCAAAGAAAAGTGAAATAGCTACAGGAAAAGAAAAAAAAGTTATGAAAAATCTTGTAAGTGAGCCATGACTATAATTTACATAGACACTACAATGTAAGCCTATTGGCTATTAATCTAATCAAAACCATGATAAAATTCATTTGAGAAGATGGGGTGTGGGAACTGTTTGCCTGCGGAGAGGAGGGAGCAGGTGGTGATGGTCATTAGAGCAAAATCCCCATCTTCCATAGTGGAAAATTTGTGTATAATACCCTAGAACAGCGAATTTTCAACCTTTTTCATCTCATGGCACACATAAGCTAATTACTAAAATTTTGCAGCACACACAAAAATATATTTTTTGCCTATCTCATACACACACAAAAAAATGTATAATTTTGATTGATTTACCAAAGTGTCTTTTTAAAAACTCAGGTGCCTATATTGTATATAAGGATTTCTGGTTCCGAGAATTAACTAATCAGACACAACCTTACCATGCGACGTGACCAGTAAGATGCAGCTCTGCTGTATGACCTAAGGCTGTTGTTGTGTTGGCTGTAGTCATTTTTTTATTTGACAGTCTAGGAGAAAAGAGGTCAGTGCCCCTGACTAAATAGGTATTGCAAGTTTTGAAAATTCTCGTGTCACACCAGTTGAAAATCGCTGCTCTAGAAAAGTCAAGAAGCAGCAGGAGCTAGAGATACAGAGATGAAAATTGAAAGTGGTTACTTCTGGAGAGCAGGAAGTGGAGGGTGGGGCCGTGCGAGCTGTTTTTCATAACAAGCCGTGTAGAACCACTTGACTCTTTGGAGTGTTACATATGTAACTTAGATTAAAAATAATAACTTCAGATTACAACAAAAATAGGGTGTATTGACATAATAAATTAGAAGAACATGTACAAAGAACATGTCTGTGAGGCGTCGGAATTAGGAATAACAAATGAGAAAGGCACATGGAGAGATGTTTCATTTGCATCATATTTTGGTGGCATATGGATTAGTCTACAGCACCAATTAATTACTTTTCTTTATGGTGATGCTGTGTTAAAACTGAGAAATGGATCAAAGATAAAAATAGAGTAAGTCTAACCCCCCACATAGGCCTGCTGTGAACCAAGGAACAAAATGCCAAATTATTATTTAAAATGTAATATATTTACTAACTTGGGGGAAGTACGTAGGCAGAAATTTTCAAGAAAAAGCCCATGGTTTTCCAGCTAAGGGGTTAGTTTATTATTTTATGAAAATAATGTATTGTCACCAGTGCTCTTCACCAAATCCAGTTTTCCCCCCTCCTAGGCACTTGATAGGATTGTACCTCCTTGTTTGTCCCCTGTGATCTGTCAGAGCCGTGTCACTAGTTCTGTCCAGGGAGGAGTGAGTGGAAATTATGTGTATGTATTGTTACTGCAAGATCCTCTCCACCTCTCTCTTTCCCTCTGGCACAGTGAGCAGAGCCCATCTGCCAACCCATGATAGACGAAGAATGAGTAAGAAATAAACCTTTATTAATTTAAGGTGAGAGTGTTGCTTATCACAGCATAACAGTGCAGTTGGATAATCTAGTAGCAGTTCTCAACCTCAGTGTGGCTAAATCTGCTTATGTTTCTAATCCAGTCATTGAGAAATTATTTCCAAACTCAATATAGGTGTGATATATTCTGGACAAGTGTCATATAGTAAGTCTCAGAACCTATTTCCTCTCAGTATTGCCTTTTTATGGATCTCAAATAAAGCCTTTCCATAGTCCACAGGCTCTCTTTAGATGAAGTTGTATGAACTTATTCCTGTGAACGCCCCTCACTTGGCCATATGATAAAAGAGTGTACAACTCAGCTAAATCTTTAAAGAGGTAATTAATTAAGTCTTATGCCATCTGTTTATAAATGACATTATTATCCTTCTTTTCTGAAATGTGAGCAAACTAGTAGGAAGTTTTAAACTGACTATTGTTTTGAGGATTGGTATTTACTCAAAGACAGTTTACCCTCTTATTTCCCAAAAGAGCCTGTAGAGCTCACCTAGTTCAAACCCAGGTTTTAATCAAACTCTGATTCTTTTAGTCTTTAAGACAAAATTCAGAATT